TAAACTGATTCGAACAATCTGGAATTTAGAGACTATAAGTTACTATTACATATTCTTCTAATAACCCCCCTCAAGTTGGAGCAAGGGTATGTTGGATACCCAACTTGCTTACTAGTGTAGAAAATGGAAAAGGCCCTAGAGGTTGGGTGAGGAGGTCTACTGGCTGATCTTTGCTGGAAATGTGATGAGTAGCAATTGTGTTGTTTGCAATGTGTTGGCAAATGAAGTGACAGTTGATTTCGATGTACTTGGTTTGTTGATAATATACAAGATTATTGGCAATGTATAGAACCACTTGACTGTCACAATAGAGATGCATCGGACCTTTGATGGTGATTCCAAGATCATGAAGGAGTACACACTCACCCCAAAAAGTAATTGGAAGATTAGCTTGAAATCTGAAAGCACGGGCTACCTCCAACAAGTGTTGGTGTTTGCATTCCGCAATGCCATTTTGTTGGGGCATGTCAATACAGAATCGTTGATGTATAATCCCTGAATGCAAATAAAATTATTGCACAGGTCTAGACAAGAATTCAAACCCATTATCTAATCTAATGTAGCATTATGTTATGTCTTAACCATGTGACAAAATGAGACCAAGAACAGAGTATTCGCCTTATGTTTCATCAAGTAAACCCATGTGTTGCGAATACAATCATCTAATAAGAAAATAATGAGCCCCACTATGGGAGGGTGTTTTTTATCCACCCCAAATATCACAATGTAACAATTCAAAAGGTATTGTAGACTATGTAGCACTGATTGGAAATGGAAGTTTAATAAGTTTTGCCTTATAGAAAATTTCACAACTCTAGTCTGCATCATTAGGAGAATGACCAGAAATGGCGGTGAAGCATGGAGAAGATACATGCCGTAAGTGTTAATGCCATAGTATGTATGTCGATAGTGGGGTAAAAGCAATGGTGGAGTTATGAGCTGAGGTGGATGGTGGGTGAAGGTAGTATATTCCATTCCACATCTTACCCGTCCCAATCTCTTTCCTCGAGACTAAGTCCTATAAAATACAGAAATCAAGGTAGAAAGTGATGGCATAATTCAATTGAGAGGTTAATTTACTGATAAAAAGTAGATTGCAATGGAAATCAGGAACACAAAGAACATGATCTATAGGAAGCTGAGGTGTGATCTCATAGGAACCTTGTCTATAGTTATATATCCAAATCTATAACCACATATTTTTACAAAACCATAACTATAGTTCTTCTATTTATAGCTATGGTTTGTTACATAACCGTAGCTAAATGTACTAACCTATAACCACGGTTTTTTTTGTTAAAACTGAAGTTTAAATACTCTAACCTATAGCTACAGTTATTTGATAAACCATGGCTAAAAGATGCAATATATGCCCAAAACATAGCTAATTGTTTCAATATATGGAAAAACTATAGCTATATTCCAAATAAAATAGTAAAATTAGGACAATTAGGAATGCCACCTTAAAGCAATACCTATTTTATTCAATTATTCATACATCACATGAAAATATTTATTTTATTGTAATAATTCAATACATGCCACATAATTTGAATACATCGATTGCTCTGCCAAAAAAACACATCCATTGTTTAAAATGTGTATTACAAATGTCAAATTTCCCTAAATACATATTAAAGTCTACATGACTTGTAAAAAAATAGTGACATTTTAAATATAAAATAATTATCCATTGTTTTCAACTATGTTTTAAGAGTCACTCCTTGCATCTTTAACCTACAAAGAAAAACAAAAAAAAAATAGAACATTGATTACTTTGATGATCTAATTAAATATGCAATATACAATAAAAAAATGTGAAGATAGGTAACAAAATCCACTAGTATTTTGTTTAATGCAAGATAAATTTTGAAATTCTAATCAACATGTAAAAAATGTCTTACAAGTGCCAATTTGTCTTACTACATATAATAAACCATGATAAAAATGAAAAATATTGATCTCAATCACTTCATCCATGTATGTTGTTACTCCTTACATATACATCCAACCTAAAAAGCAAAACAAAATAAAAATTAATATTTTTGCATTAATATATATATATATATATGAAAATTTCAAATATAAATTACATGGTTTGAAAAAAAGCAAAAAATGTCTTACATATGAATCCATAAAGAACACTACAACATAGCTCTTAGAAATTAGCAATTACAAAGATTTGGAAAATGTAACATGTCTCCAACTACCTGCCAGATATTGACTGTCCCTTCAACCCAGCTAAAAGTTTATGGTAATTTCATTAACTCAAAACAAACCAATAGTTCCTCATAAAGTTTGCTATAATATTTGGTCCATATATGGAAATCATATTGCTGGTCAAGACTTGGAAGTTGTGGCTCAGAATATAGACCCCTAACTCCACCTACAGGCTATAGGGTTCAGTCACTAGATCCATTTCTCAAGAGCAAAAAGGAACACCCATATATTTATCCATCTGCACTTGTAGTCATGCCACAGAATATGACCATATATCATACCATGAACATATATACTTTCCCTGTTATGCATGGGTATCTTAGTACCTAAGCTTCAATTAAATGTAAGAAAAGATGCCCACCCATATTACCTGAGTAACATAACAAGTGCACTACAAAAGCATGAAAACACTAAAAGAAACAATAATTGGACATTTAAAATGAAATGCACCTTAGGTTTGATGAGACAGTGTCCTTGAAATCATGGACACACTTAGCTTCAGAATACACATGAGAGGCTCGTTGGAATAACCATTAAGCAAGTCAGAAGATCAACTTGAAGAACAAATAAGTTGCCATTCATCTCAAATGTAAAAAAAGGTCATATTCATAGTATCAAATTAACTAACTTTAATATCTATTCCAGCATTTCTTATAGATGATTTGGCATAAACCAAAGCAAACTTAAATGCAAACCACTTCAGATTTAGGAACTTGATCATACATTCATCAAGGTAATCCACAAAGCTTAAAACTAAAATCATATAACTAGCTTAATTTCACTAGCTTATTGGAACATATGGTAATTGATATCAAAGTTTTAAGATCTGGACCAGACCGGATGTTCGAACCATTAGACCAAGGAACAAAAGACCATTCCGATTTTTTAGAACCCTGGGTTTTAAATTTCTCATAAAACGGTAGAACTGGTCAAAACCCAGCAGAACTGTTGAAAGCCAGCTGCGTTTCGACAACACAACCGGTTTTAATGACCCACCCAGGTTGGTAAATGCTCTAAAACTTAAAATGCAAATCTTAAGATTCAAACTTGCAACCTAACATTTAGCTAAGTTCGCTTATTACCATTAATCCATCTTGTTATTTGTACTTAAATTTGTGTTTCAAATATACATACGTACATACATATAATTAAATATATGTAAATATAAAACAATGAATTAATCATCCCACCAATGCATAAGATGTGTTATGTCTTGCAAAAAGTTCTAAATATATTAAGTATGCAAATCATAGCCAAAACGTTTGACCCATGACCCGAGAAGCATTCTGGTTTTGTGTCCGGTCCCAGTCCTAAAACATTGATTGATATAATCAAAGAGTTGGGTTTCATATGTACATACAAATGAGCTATTCTAGTCTTAAGCTTTTGCACAAACAGGCCAAACATTGAAGAGAGGAGGCTCAAGTCAGGGTGGCATCCAGCATACAACTGAGTTTGTAGGAGGCCTGCCTCTACTTCTCTCAAAGTCATTACATTACTTAGAAATGTTTATGCAGGACCTAAATAGGTGCCTTCTCTCTAAAAGACCTATAGCTCATGAGGATTTGCACAAGAAAATATGTTCAAAATGTTAAAACTACCATTATGCATCATTAGTTTCAAAACAAACTTCTAATGGTATAGGCTTTCTCTTAATAACTATAGTGTATAGATTACTCATAGATCATGCAACTAATGAAAAAAAAAAAAAGAATATGAGTTACGTGAGCAACACACCCCATGATAAATCCTCCTTGTAGTTCCTGAGTTTGAAGGTCATCTACTATTAAAATTGATTCCAAATTTTTTAAACATGGGTTGGAATGGTCGGTTTCCCTTTTTTCAGTTTATTATAACAACTTCCTTGGAGAAGTTGACTTTGTTATATCAATCACAATATCAGCTCCTTGTGGTAGATACTTGTGCAAGGAACATGTTGCTTCCAAATCTTGCACAAATGAGAAAAGCACTGTCCCCAGAAGACACTTATTCTGATATTTAGCTGCTATAACACAGTTCAAAAAGTATGAGGTTGGCCCATACAAGATTTGAGATTAAGTTGCTTCTGGGGAGTAAAAGTATGGTCCATACGTGAAAGAGAGTGAAAGCATGGTCCATGGTGTGTGGGAGTAAAAAGGAACTCCAACCAATTTGCTTTGCATATGGTTGGCTGATTCAAAGTAGTTGAGATTAAGGCTGAGTTGAGTTGAGCTGACTACTTTGATCTGCATGTAGAACTACAAACCAAAGCTTGAAAATTCACGAATATATGGACGAGTATATCTACAAATTGGTGGTTCAGAGTGGAAATACCCCTCATGGCCCATGGGCAATGATTCTGGTAATCTTGTGATTAAGCTACAGTGCATTCTACATCAAAAATATATTTAAACATGAATCTTTTCTGTGGGATGATGGAGTAATGTAGCCAAACCCAAATAGTTGGAGTAAGGCTCATTTTAGTTAAACTGGGTATGCATATCAAGAACTAACAGATAGACAGGGCAACTGTCAAACAACCTAACTCACAATCCCAAATGTATACAAGAGAAATTTCCAAAAACCCAAGATCCAGGGCATATACAATGTATACAAGATATGTACCTCATTAGACTGTATGTTACCACATATACAATGTAGAAAGCAAGAATGAAGAGACAAATTTCAATTGCATCACCTCATTTAAACTAAAACTGAACCTTGAAGGCTTTGTATTACACATAATTATGATACCAAAGAAATTCTCAAAATACAGCTCAAATCTAAGAAATTACCTGAAATAACTTATAGTGCTTTGCAGCTCTTAGTACATCCAATGAGGTTGGAGAACTACCCAAGACAGAAGGCAGATTTTCCTCTGTGATTTTCTCAGTTTCTTCAGCAATATATGGCTCCTCCTTCAAAAATTCCTGCAAGGCAGAAGGAAAACATAAGCTGATTGATGATAATATAAAATAAAAATTATCTGCAAATAACAAGAGCAAAACTATGAGAAAAAGCTGTCCCCTTGCTTCTTAGAAATGGATCAAACTTTGTCAAACTCAAATGATATGGAGGTAGAACATGGAAAAATGTATAAATAATATAAGATCAAATCTAAAGCAGAAAAATAGAAAAGTAAAAAAAGAAAAAAAAAAAAAAACTTATTGAAGTGATAACAGCTGTAAGATCCCAATAGAAAGTAAATTATAGAACTTACAATTTTTTGAGTAAGGTTAAACAGCTAACATAAGGTACCAAAAAAATTGAAGTATATAAGCTAGGCAAGAAAATATGAGGAAAAAATATGTGCTACCTTGACAGCAAGAACAGGATCTGAAGAACCACAATTGCTAGAAAATGACACACATAATCCCTCAACATCAGAAAGAGTTTTCACTTCGGAGATAGCTTCTTGAGGCATCATCCCAAGCTTTATACCAAGGACAACCTGCAGATGTTTCTTAGAATCTCAGTATCTTACCCAAGGTTCAAAGTATTGATACATATTGTAGTGCATCATACAATATGTATTGGTTTTCAGGGTAACCGACATGTGAAATACTAATATTTAGGTTTTATTAATAGGTTTAAATAATAATAAATATTAGAGTATCCAGATAAAAAGACTAAAGTTTGATGTCCTTAACTAAGCATTCCCCCAAGTAGACAAGCCCTCAGTTCAGAAGATCTTTGAAATCCATACATAACCTCAACCAGACCAAAAGGTATCCTGATAAAAAAATTGGCAGAACAAAAAGCCTCCTATAATTGATTGTCTCATTTTCACTTTGAATCCTAAATCGTTCAGGTTGCTACTCAATTTGTTTTATTGAATTGGGGTCATATAAAAGAATTGTTTAAATTAAGGTCTCTTCAAACTACAATAAGGATCAGGTTGAGTACTGTCCATTATGAAAGAAATGCCATGAAGAAAAAAAAAATTGAGAGACAGAAAGAGTAAAGAAAAGGACACTTATAGTGGACTCTCTCTTAAGCAAGTAATTTCCCTCCAGCAGTTTCCTAAACCAATTCCTACACCAGAAAGAATTTTCTATTGCCTCAGCTAGTAGGCCTACATTTATTTCCTAACATGAGTGCCATTTATTCCAATCACACGGCTGAAAATTTTGCCTTTTTTTGCAACCCATCCTTTGATTGTGCCATCTTTTATCCTGTTAATTTCTCTATAGAACTCACATGCCTCTGTTTCAAGAACATCAGTGCCTTTACATATTAAATGCTGTAATTGTTATCTTTTGTTGGTATAAATTTGGTCCATGCCTGATGTCTATTAAACCAGAAAAAATACATAAGTTAACAGTCACTCACCATTAAATAGTAATTCAAAGAACAACCAAAAGAAAGTGTCATCATATTTTAAAGAAGAGATTGGAACCCAACTATAAACCAAGAACGTTACCACTGAGAAAAGTAAAATTCACCTATCATCTACCAAAACAAAGGAGAAGGGAGATGAAAAAAGAAAAGAACTCTTCCTTGGTAAAGATTCACATCAAAATTGCTCAGCCATTAGGCAAGAGCATTTATCTTAATTGTTCCTTTAATCATACAGATCAAGGCTCCAATGATTGTTAATATAGGAAAAAAGACGCGCACAGAAATGGAGAGTAGGAAAAAAAGGGAAGGAGACCCTTTAACCATACTACGCACAAAGCTCCTTTAACCATACCAAGCACGTCCCTAGGAGCCAATACTTCGCACATCTCCACCAACTTCTCCCGAGCCTCCGCCATCAAACCTTTCTCCACGGCCGTGGTACTCCTCCCGCCTCTCATCTTCCCCAATGCTGGCAGAACCAGAACAATCTCCGCAACCCTCTTCATGTCTCCATCCAAACCGATAATAATCAGGATAATATATCTAGAACCAGAGTCAACTCATTGATTCTGATTCCTAGAACCATAACCAACCTAATCAGTTCATGAACATTGGGGTCGGGTTGAATCTGATCCACTGAATGCTCTATTTCTATGTAATATAAAATAGCATATATATTATCTATAATATACATATATTTAAATATACATGGGTCAAGTTAAGCCCAAGGTGGGTTTAAAGTATTAAGCCTATGCCCAACCCTAAAATTTGGGGCTCTAATGAGGGTCCAAGCCTTGACCAGGGCTTAAACACAAAATCTAGGTCTAAGATCAAAATTTTCCAACTTGTTAAAATGATCACTCTTGTTTTATGGCAAAAATAATAGGGTAAGGTGCCTTTAGTACTTTAAGACCAATTCATTAGTACTTTGGTTAGACTAGTTTGGTAGATGTTTTTGGCTTTTTTTTTTGGAGTAAATAGGGTTAAGTGTATGATCGAATTAGTTAAGGGTTGGGTCATGGTTTAACAATAATCAATTTTAATTAACCGAATAAGAATTAATACTATTTTAGAAATTATTTTCCTTTTATTAATGTACTCATGAAATTATTAATAATTTATTTTATAGTTTAATCATTATTGAATAGAAATCATTAATTATTATTGTTATGCAATAGTAACGAGCTAATGATTTGTTAATTATTTTCATTTACTCTAATAAATTCTTAATTATTAATTTACTATAAAAAGTAATTAATAAATAATAAATATTTTAAATGAATATTATATGATTATTATTTATGAGCTAAGGAATAAAATGATTGTAGCTAAAGATGATTAACTCCGTAATTATAGCCACGGAATTATAGTTATCTGTGGCTATAGTGATAAATAGTTCTTTAGCCACGGACAGAATAACTTTTAACCACGGATAAATTGTCCGTAGCTAAAGATCAATTTCTGCTTTTGTAATTTATATCCACGGATACATTATAACCGTGGTTATAAATATCTTTTAGCCACGGATATATTACAACCGTGGCTATAAATATCTTTTAGCCACGGATAGAATAACTTTTAACCACGGATAAATTTTCCGTAATTAAAGCTCAACTTCTGCTTTTGTAATTTATAACCACAATTACATTATAACTGTGGCTATAAATATCTTTTAGCCACAGACAACATAACTTTTAACTACGGATAAATTGTCCGTAGCTAAATCTCAACTTCTGCTTTTATAACTTATAACCACGGATACATTATAACCGTGACTATAAATATCTTTTAGCCACGGATAAATTTTCCGTCTCTACATCTCAACTTTTAGCCACAGACAAATTTTCCATAGTTATATCCCATGTGTTAGCTACGGTTTTTTCGACCGTAGTTAAAGTGTCATAGCTATAGCCTTATTTTCTTGTAGTGTGTAGAAATAGACCTGTTTATGGATCGGGCCGGGCTTTTACTTGTCATTAATGGAAATATGCCAAGCCCGAGCCTGAGCTCGGCCTATGGGCCTATAACTTGGGCCCGAGCCCGGCCCTAATAAAAAGCCCAAAGCCCGACCTAATAAAAAAAATTACAATTTTCCCTATTCAAATTAGAATTAAAAATTCAGATGGCTTTTTTTTCCTATTTAAATGAACAATGGGCCTACAAAATGGTTTTTTTCCCTTTCTTTTACGTTTTAAAACACAGTTTTACATTATTAAATCAAAAAATTTATTCAAATGGACATAATCACATAACCCATTTTAAGTCTAATTTTAGGTCAGGCCGGACTATTTTGACAAAACACGAATCCGGCTCGAATTTATTGCGGGTCAGGCTTTTTTGTCCGAATTTAAACCCACGGGCCTATAAACATGTTCAATCCCGTCTGGAACCGGGCCGGGCCGGGTCGGGTCGGCCCATCGGGCCACCCGGCCCATGAACAAGTCTATGTAGAAAGCACGACAGGAACCAGCTGAGTCAAAACCAAATCGCCTTTCAATAGACTTGAATGGAGCAGCGTGAGCCAACCGAAAAAGATGACTGGGCGGTGGTGGAAGCAGAGGCCATGAGAGATGAATGGAGAGAAATTCTTGTGGTATCGGATTTTCCTTTTACGTCTTTTGCTGGCGGTGCCTCTCGTCCCTTCCTTGTCTGCCATGCTCAGAGATGACACTGTTAGTCTTGCCAAGCTAATTTGCTGGAAAGGGTAATTTGTGGATTAAAAAAATTAAAATAATTGAATGAAAATCGTTTTTGAAGTTAATTAACGGAATAGGGATCTTCGTGTAACGGCTAAAGTTCAGGGGGGCTTTTGTTGCAAATTAAAATATAGAGGGTCTTTGTCATTGCCCCTATAATATTATAGGGGTCTTTGTAATTTACCCTTTTATAAAATGAATGACTAATTAATTTGAATTGTTTTTTTATCAAATTCTTATTCCACTGCTTATTTAGGATGTTGCAGCTTTTCTGAAGATATAAATATACATATACTATCTTTATTTTTTTTGTCACCTCTCTCTAAGTATATTAAATTTAATTAATAATGACTAAATAAAATTTATGATTTTATAATATTGTAGGACAAAGAATCATGTTGCGACAATGCTTCTTGAGTTGAAGGATTATTTTTAAAGAAAGCAAGATTACATGGAGATGTGGAGTACTTGAGCTCACTTTGTTTTTACTAGTTTTTTTATATGGAATATAAATTAGATTGTTATGCTTTTATATTTCTTAAGAATTTAACTAAATATGTTTATTTCTTAATTAATTCCTCATGGATTTATTCTTTTTTACACTTAAATATTTTTTGCTGCCACATTTAAATAATTTTTTATTTACATAGAAAAACATGTATAATAAGTATCAAGTTTATAAACATTCAGGCCAATACAATTATTCTTGTGTTTAAGTCAATATTTTAAAACCTAGTTACAAGGTTAAACTATTTTTCCTCCTTGGTCAATGGATCAAAAGTTGAACAATCTAGATCCACAACTCAATGCCTCAACCTGTAATGCTATTAATTCAAAAAAGAAGAAATAATACAAAAACTAGATAATCCACTGAACTGTTCAGATGCATCATTGACTCCAATTGGGCTTGTGACTCGAGTGATAAGGAATCAAAGATTGAAAATACTATTTTTAGAATTTCAATAATAATTTCTAAAGATATTAATTAGTGTTATGGGCAGAAAGCGAAGATAATGAACTTGAAGTTAGTAATGAGTCAAATAATTCAACTTGACCCACTTTGGAGTATAGAAATTCATGCTTGGGGTGTTCGTGTGTCTAGCTCTAAGAATGGCAATGGGGCAGGGTAGGGCTGGGTTTTGCCTACCCGCCCCAAACCCCGATGGAGAAAGAAATTCTAACCCCACCCCCTTTCCTCCGAATTTTCCCTGCCCCATCCCAATCATTCCTACTTTTATACTTACAATTTTATTTTATTTTATTTTTTTGAAACATATTTAGAACTATTTTATACTATATAACAAAATATGATGTAATATAATATATAATATTATAATATAATATAACATATATTAATAGTTATATATGTATTATGTTACATAATATAGTTGGGGCAGATTTGGGGTCGAGGTTGGGGCCTCGTCCCTGATCCCCATAGTTTTAGGCTTCCCTAAATCCACCCAAACCCCAATCACAAGTCAAAAAAACCCACAATATATAATATTATAATAAAATATAACATATATTAATAGTTATATATGTATTATGTTACATAATATAGTTGTTGGGGCAGGTTAGGAGACGAGGTCGGGGCAGTGTGGATAAATCCCCAGAGTTTTGGGTTTCCCTTAACCCACCCCAAACCATGATTAGTAGTTGAAAAACCCGCCCCAACTGAGATGGCGTAGGGCCTGCAAGGACAGGTTAAATTGCCATATCTATCTAGCTTTACACTCAAAGGAGGGTGTCGGGGATGACAACCTGGAATTCCACGTCAAGGCGATAGATTTCATATCTCAGTCAGAGAAAAGGGCAATAGTATTTGTTTTGATTTCATGCATTGGATATTTGTTTTGAGATATTATATAAACATATACACAATGATGGTGATGCAGACATATATATATTATTATGATTGTTTTGAGGTATTGTATATGCATTGGTTGAAGTTATTTGCAGCTTGATAGATGATTATAAATGCATTGGATTTAATTTACTGCAATTTATGATTGTGATTCATTTCTTACCATGGTGGTGTTGATTATAAATATATGATACTGTTTACAAGTTTATTAGTAAGTGTTTGGTGAAACCAAACATCTTGCAGCTTGATAGATGATATATTTATAGTTTCAGTTATAGGTTATAGATGTATTGGATTTAATCCATTGCAATTTGTGGTTGTTATTCATCTCTTGTCATGGTGCATGGTGTCTAATTGCGAATGTATGATCTTGTTCACAGGTTTGACAAAGTATGTATTTGTGTCTTTATAGATATTCATGTGGAAAAATATTATGTTGTGTTCAAAGGCTGCCAACCAAGGATCTATTTCACATGGGCAGAGTTTAATGCCCAAGTGCATAGGCTTAGTAGAGCAATTTTTTGCTCATATAACACCTACGAAGAGGCAGTATTCTAGTTGCAACAATACAAGTGCAATATATATCCAATACCCCAACACCAAATAGTTGGGAACACCTCTAGGATTCATGTAAGGAATATTGACACAAAGGTAAAGGTGTCAAAAGAACGTCGCTTACAATCAATAGTTGTTCTTGTGTTGGTGGTCAATTTGGTGGTTATGTCATTCTTATACTGTTTAAATGATGCTTGCAAATATTTGGTAGTTAAGAACTTAGTGAATTACATGGGAGCATTAGGATGGGGTCCATACAGAATTTAGTGAATTACAATGCTAACACATTTGGGTAAATGCAAAAACCTTCCCTAAAGTTTTTGACAATCATAAAAACCTCCCCTTTAGTTTCATTTTAACCAAAACCTCTCCTAAACTTTTAAAGAATTTGAAAAACCTCCCTTCCGTACGGAAAACGTTAAACCAGTGTATCAATTTTGTTGAAATGTCCATTTTACCCTTTTGTAAGTTAATATACTTTTACTGAAATGCCACCATTTGAAAATCAACCAAAAAACTCCCTTTGACCTATTTATCCTTTTCTAATCCCTGAACTCATACGAGGAATGCAACTCTTTGATCTTTCATCCAAACTCTATGGGTTCCAACAAAGAGTAATCCTAAAACGTCTTTGTCATTTTATTCCTCCTCTTTCAATGTCCCTTCACTCCATTGACTCAAGAAGAGGCAGTTGTTGACTCTTTCATCGTTGAAGCTTACTCCATTCAAGTAAAGAAGCAACATTCGATGCTTGGGACAATGGGGTTTATTTGAACTCCATTGACCTCTCTAACAACTTTCTTCAAGGCGGGTTTTTGAATTTGTTCACAAACATGTCAAGTTTACAGAAGATTAAGCTTGCATACAACCAGTTTAGGTTGAACATTTCAGAGATTGCATTACCTTATGTGCTTTCCTCTATTGATCTCCACTCAAATCAACTCTATGTGTTCGATAGTGGATGCCCCTAACTCCAATCAGATTGATGTACATTATGTCATTTATTGTAAATGAATAAAATGCACAATTGATTCATGTGATTTGCTGTGTTTCTGTGTAATACCCTTAAACTAGACACTTATGAGACCCGTGTTAATTTAGAATCTTCACAGTCATTGGATCAATCTGGGGAGATTTATCTTGCCAAGGTTGACACTGATGTGTTGCCAAGTTAGTTGAGGTGGCTTGTCTCAACTGCCAGGGTGAGACCTGAGGTACATGCAATGTGGGTTTTCTTAAAACCTTGAACCGGACCAAATTCCAATATTGCCCTGGACCTTGGAGATAGATGGGAAAAACTGGAATGTTACACCTAACCCCTAGACTCGATTATGGTACTGCACTAGGTGTCAGATTGGGTTGTCTTTGATATGCCAATCAGTGAGATCCTTAGAGGGGGTCAAAACTTGGGTATGTTGGAACGGTCCAAGAATTCACCTGAGTGGGTGATCATAGTGACAAGATCACCCCCTTTGTCAGACAAAATGAATGATCGGGGAATGCACTCTCTCTAATGGAAAGCAAAACTGTCGACAGTTGATTTCAAACATTGAAATTTTTTTTTGCAAAATATATTTATATAGAGATATACATACATACATATATATATATATATTATGGTTTCAAAATATTTGCAAAAAGGTTTTAATTCCCGGGATCCATGTGAGTAGAGAGTGCACCACTGTACCTTGCAGCCGAGGGAGAGGTCCTCTCTTGTCGAGTAGTGTTTGATCATTATGGGCTGAGAGGTTAAGTGTAAAACCATTGAGGGTAATATCTGATGGGTTAATTTTGCATCTACCCACAGTTCTTGGGTTTTCATAAGGTGGCTGGATCCAAGAACCATTTAGTGTAAATGTTGGGCCTATTAAGAGCCCATGATGATGGACTCGAGGGTTCACTATCTCCTAAAGTGAATTCGGACTGGCCTTGTAGCAAAAGTTGGGCTGAGCCCATGTGGCTGATGTGTAGATCGATGTAAGGGTCCCATGCCATGCAAAGAGAGCCAATTGGGCAACGGGTTAAGGAGCAAGTGAGCACATTAGCTTAATGGGCCTAAAGCCCAATTCGAACTGGGCTTAAGTTAGTAAATTAAAAGGAGGCAAGATCCGATTTATAATCTGATTAGGATTAGATGAAAGGATAAGATAAGTCTTATCCATTTAAGAATCTAAATCCAAATATCAGATTAGGATCAAGAAACTCTCTCCTAATTAGATTAGAAGGTTGATCCAAAGAAGACTATAAATAGGGACAAATTCCTTAGTTTCAACACACAGTAATCTGCAGAGTTCTCCCCAATTCTTGCCACCCCTACCCAGTTTGATCTCCACTTGTGGAACTGATCAAGAAGTGTTTCTTGATATTTCTTCTTGGTAGAAGAAGCAATCTAAAGTCGTACTCACTAGCTCAGTTTGGTTCTTGCTGAAGAATCCCAGTTCTTGTTGAAGAGCCATCTTGCTGATCCTGCTTCACCCCGCACTATATCATCTTCAGTGAAAGTGGATTTTGGTATTTTCCTTGGGCGTGAACACTTTCTTTGGGAGTTACTACTCCTTTGTATCAGATATATCCCTCACTTCCTATTGGTTTCAGATCTGGTTTAGTTTTGTTTCAAGAATGATCCTTGAAAATGCAATTTTTTAAAAGGGTATGCGATTCTCAGATGGGAGAGAGAAAAACTTTTGAAATTTCGCCCAACCTTCCTGCAGGGTTCGTCCATCCATATGATGGATCTCTCATTCCTTCACTATGGGCCACTATCAACACTTTTAGACATTAACAAAATCAGATTTTCTAGAGCTTGTAAACAATCAAATCACAGGTGAGATTCTAGAGTTTAGTGAAGGTTCGGGTTTGAAACTGCTGAACTTGGCAAGCAATAGAATTTCAGGTCAAATCTCAAATTCAATCTCAAACTTGATTGAACTAGAAAGGTTTGATGTTTCAAGGAACTAGATTAAGGGCACCATCCCTACAAGCTGAGACCAATTACCAAAGTTGCAATTTGACTTGTCCATCAATACTCTTAGTGGCAAGACATCAATGATCTCAATGGCAAAATCCCAGACAACTTTGTAAGCCTACAGAGTCTCAAGCATGCATATTTCAGGGCAAACAAACTTTGTGGAGGGATACCACAAGGGAGGCCATTCAACATTTTCCCTATGGCTGCTTACGCCCACAACCAATGCTTATGTGACAAGCCCATGCCACCTTGCAAGATAAACAACCTATAGGAGTAGGGTCAGTGAAATGCTGACCCAGCTGCTAATGGGAATTTTTCATGCCCTATCAACATTGTTAAATCATAATATCATATTAAGAGACAATTATATTTCATAATAACTGAAATCCTTTATTTTTCTACTGAATACACTATTACACTTATTGTTTGCTTGTTTTTCAAGGGAAGCAGTCCATTGCATTTGATAGTGAATTTAGTTAGCTTTGTACTCAATACTATTTAGGCTATTTAAGAATAAGAATTACATCATTCCTTGTATTAGTAGTCGATTGTTCCATTAGAATTGCGAAGACATCGAAGAGCACATTTATAGGCATGTTCAACTGAATCATTGTAGATAGATAGATAGATAGATAGAGAGAGAGAGAGAGAGTGTGTGTGGAATTGAAATTGGATTGCTATTATGAAATGGATCCCATTAACAAAACCCAATGATCACAACTAATTTAAGCATTTACAGATGGTAGTCAACCCATACATTAAGGTTACTCAAAATGGTCTCTATGAATATATCTTATAATCTACTCTTCTGCTTCTGCTTTTGCTTCCATTTCAGCTTCCTCTTCCCTCTCTGAGCTTCCTTACTCCTTGTATAGTAAACAGACATTTACAATAATGTTATTAATACTATGACATCAAAATGAGAAAAATCAGAAGTAAATAATTCAGTGTGTTAATAAGGAAAATAAAATAAGCACAAAAGTACCCAAATTCATCTTGATCTTAGAATCAAGGCTACAACTATGCATATCGATAAGCACCATGGGGGCATCCTTATTACATTCTTCACTGCAAATCAACAGAAACCCAACTCCCATCATTAACTAGTAAAAATTAAGAAGCTGCCTTAAGCCCAGTACTTGAGTAATGCTAATAACAATTTAGCAACATTAGAAACAAATCCGCATGGAATCAAAATACTACACAGACTTCCTCCCAGAAACCAAGAAACAACAGATGAAGATGCATAGAAACAAATCACAAGGCTTAACAAATAGACATTCTGATAGCCCAAAAATCTCAGACAAATAGAACAATTAAATAATAGATGAACTACTGATTGAAAAGATGAACCATAGCATCTAGTGAAAGCGCTTTCATCCTTGGCACATTTCAGAGTATTTTTCTCCACTTTGACCCTCTTTCTTGCTCTCAGAGTAGACTTTGATGAAGCTCCCGCCATGTTTTGTTCAACAGAGAGACCAAGCTAGCGAGCTAGAGAGAGAGAGAGAGAGAGAGAGAGAGAGACAGATTCAGTGGTGAAAGAGTCAAGGGTTGCCTCTCTTGAGTCGATGGAGTTTGAAGGGACATTGAAAGAGGAGGAAGAAAATGACAAGGATTACACTTCTTTTGAACCGATAGAGTTTGGATGAAAGATCAAAGAGTTGCATTCCTCGTACAATTGAGTTTAGGGATTAGAAAATGATAAATAGGTTGAAGGGAGTTTCTTTGGTTGATTTTCAAATGGAGGTATTTCAATAAAAGTATATAAACTAACTTACAAAAGGGTAAAATGGACATTTCAAAAAAATTGATGCACCGGTTTAATGTTTTTCGTTTGGGTTAGTGATGGAAGGGAGGTTTTTGTCAAATTCTTTAAAGGCCTAGGGCAGGTTTTTATTAAAGTAAAATTAAAGGAGAGGCTTTTATAATTATCAAAAACTTCAGGGGAGGTTTTTGTATTTAACCCAACACATTTGGTAGTTGATCAAGATAGATTGGATGGAATTAGACCATCCATGTTATAAACTGTTTGGGAGGGCTTTTAAGTTGATTGAGCTGCATTGATTGAGGGAAGAATCCATCAAAGATAGAATCACCAAAAAGTTGGGCTGGGCTCGGGTTGGGCCCAACCCAACCTTCTTCCCATCCCTTAAAATCTTATAAAACTATTTAATCTCAAATCTTAACTCACTTTTCACTATATATATATTAATCCTATGTTTTATTAGTATTTGTTTGTTGATGTTTTTATTGGTTCTCTTAGTACAAAATCGGAAAAATAAGTTTTTGAAGTGACTATAGTTTACTATGAGTTATGACTTATGATAGATCTTTTGTAGGCGCCAAACATTAGAGAAGAGATGAAGAATAAAACACTCAAAAACCATAAAATATGTTATTAAGGTTTTAGTCTTTTCATTTAGGATTAAGTGAAATGATTATCTTAAAAGAAAGACATGATAGTATGTAGTGAGGGTTATACAACTATCAACCCTAACCCAATCCAAAATAAAGTCAGATTCATGAATTTCAACCCTAACCCTAACCTGAGCATCAATCCGACCCAACCCAATCCAACCCGACTTTTTTCGGGTTGGGTTAGGGTTGAGTTCGGGCCAACCCAGCCCAAATTGGGCCTGTTTGACTTTTCAGAAGCGCTGAGGAAAAGTCCTCCCAAACAGGCATTAATGTTGGGCCCGTTTGGCTGTTTTTGATAACTGAATCTTTGATATTGCTAAAAAGAAGCTTCAGCCGAAGTCATGCTTTGGTTTTAAAACTGTTGTATATTTAGGTTTTTTGGGGTTAATATGTGGCGGCTTCTAGATCTCAGTAGGACTCATAAGGAAGATCATTTTAGGAAGATCTTTCCATAGCCCATATGACCAAAATATATAATGAGCTTTTGGGGTATTGTTTCCAATGATAATCCATTAATCCTTTGGTAAGTGCCAATTAATGGATGATTTAGTTGGTATTGAACTGGATGTTTTCAACTATGACATGAATTCGATTCTGGCTTACATTAGGGAGAGGATTTGGGTATATTACCAATATACTAGAAAAAAGGTAAAAGGCTTAAGCATACAATTTTTAAAAATTGACTTCATGTAAACTCTATTTTTTTTTTAAATAAACTTAAATGTATCTTGTGGTATGACCCAAGGTTTTTAAAATTGAACCGGACAACGAATCGGTCAGGGGTCTGATTCCCGGATTGAATGGTCCGACCATATGGGCCGGGCTACACTAGCATCGATTGGAAGTAGTTGGCTACCATCTTATATTTTCTTTTTAATTAGTTCTTCATTCATATCTTCATGGGTAATCGATTAAAAGTAGTTGGTTCTCTGCTTTCACTAGCTTCTTTTGGATATAACCGATGCAGATTTTTAATTTCTTTATTCTTATGATTTCTTTGAAATTTGTTTATTGGGTTCTTTTTATTATTTATTTCCTTCCTAGTTTCTGTTTATTGGGTTCTCTGTATCAGTTGGGTCAGGACTACTATTATATATACTGTTCATTGTTCTTTACAATAATCTCTCTCTCTCTTGATGAAAAAGAAAGAGTTTTCATTGGTCATCACAATCATCAGCAATCCATTAAGATTCTAATGCTATATCTATTTCTTCATTTTATGTATTAATTGCAGCTTCAGCCCTTCATCTCCCTTTTCTGAACCCTTACTCGGCAAGGGATGCCGACTTCAGTCATGGAGTGAACTTTGCAGTGGCTGGGTCTACAGCACTTGACACATCGTTCCTTGCAAAAAACAAAATTATTCCTCCAGTCAAGTCCAACTTGATTGGTTCAAAGACCATCTAAAATCCATCTGTTACACACAAACAGGTAAGTCACATTGAACACACTTGATTTAAATTATCTCAGTTACACCACAGTTACAGTTCTAAGAAGATTACTCTTCAGTTTCAGTTATTGATGAATTGCCTTTTTTCTTTGATCTTTGTTTAGAGTGTGCCCACAAGCTTGAAAGGGCCTTATTTCTAGTGGGAGAGGTTGGAGGGAATGACTATAACTATGCATTCTTTCAAGGAAAAACCATAGGAGAGATTCAGAGTTATGTGCCTCACATTGTCCAAAAAATCAAGGATGCTGCTAGAGTAAGTCATCCCTTTGTCTACCTCCTGAACATTACCATTTTATATTTTGATTGATTAGTTTATACTTTGTGGAATTTACATAGTTAAAATATTATTGCCCAAGCTTCATCCTCTCATGTTATGTGCAGAAAGTGATAGATCATGGCGCGCAGACAGTGATTGTTCCAGGGAATTTCCCAATAGGATGCATGCCAATTTATCTSACAGCTTTTAGAAGCGATGACCCAGCGGCTTATGATGAACTCAAGTGCCTGAAAGGTTTGAATAACTTCGCAATGTTTTACAATGATAACCTCCAAAGAGCCTTGAAACAGCTGAGGAAGGAGTACCCTGATGTCACTATTGTATATGCTGACTACTTCACAGCCCTTCACTATTGTATATGCTGACTACCTCCAAAGGCCAAACAACAATCATTCTGTAGCTTGATAGCAAAATTAAAACCGAATTATCAATCCCTTTTTCCTCATTTCATGTATCTTTATCTTGGAGTACCGGATTTGAAGAGAAATCTCTGCAGAAAGCCTGCTGTGGAACTGGAGGTGACTACAACTTTGATCTAACTAAGATGTGTGGAGCTCCTAGGGTTCCAGTTTGTCCTGACCCAGGAACACGCGTGAGTTGGGATGGYATCCATTTGACAGAGAAAGCTTACAAGTACATGGCAGATTTCCTCATGCACAGCATAATGCCAGAAATCCAATGTTATATTTGAATCTGTATGGGTGCAATAGTCACCAAGCTTGATTAGAAAGAGATTACTAATTCAAATGTTTGGTTCCTCGGTCTGTGTCTAGCTAATGTTTTATCCTTCTTGTATGCTTTCGTTTTTTTTCTCTCTCTCTTCTTTTGTCTAGTGACTAGTGTTTTAGCCATTAAATTTTTATTTAGGCCAGTGAATTTCATCTGTATTTGACATCAAAGTTAAAATTTTGCATTGTATTGGATTTCCATTGGTAGTCATTAATTATACCTTATATTGGTATGGTTTCGTCTGTTTACATTGTGATATAAAACTAGTGTAAAGAGTGATGTGAAAACAAGGTCTTAAAAGTCAGTCCCAAAACCGTTAGTGCAATTCAATTGGTTTGTCAGTTTAACCAACGGTTTGGACGGCCAGCCCCATCAAACCCCACTGAACCAGCAGTTTTAAACCATTGGACCAGTCCTGCCAATCCATATTCCTTTAATCAAAATGACAGTTTCACGTTCCTTGGTTTACCTCAATGATGTAATTTTCCTTTTCCAATGTTTGCCCCTGTGCATTACGTCTTTCCCATGGGTTTTGTTATCAACTTTTCCAATACTATTGAGTATGCATGTGTTCATATTTTTCTATAATTTTTTTTATTTCTATGTGTGTAAAAATAATACTATCATGTATACTTATTTTTTGTTTAATATGATATTGTATATATGCCTTTATGACATTAAAGGTTGACAGATTCGACCCAAAAGTTTAACTATTGATCTCCACTAAAAGGTAAAATAATTTCATTTTTGGTTAGTTTTAGATTATGTATTTTATTATCATCATCAATAAAAATAATCCTTGTTTATTAAACTTATTTTTTTAATTTGATTAATAAAAATATCATTAATATGTTTATTTTTTCTATATTTTTGTAGTTTTTATATTTATTTCTATTTAAAAATTTTATTATCTAATTATGACTTCATGGGTTGATTAATTTGGTTTGAATAGTTGAATTGCTTAATCATCACTTGGATAAAGAGTGGATTTGTTTTTGAGTAAGTTTTAAAAAATATTAATTTATATTGTTAAAAGTATTTGATGATGCGCAATCCGGCCGGTCTTAGCTGTCAACGACCTTGCCTCTGAATTGAGTAACTGGGGACCTGAAACGGGGGAGATGAAGAAGCTCCGGGGAGAACCCGGTGTAGAGGCTCCGAAGCTCAAGTTAGAATCCTTCAAAGGCAAGATAAACCAGATAGCACAAAGTTTGCATACCTCGTTCTTGG